AAATCTTTTATCACTTTGTGACAGAGGGCTCCTACCAACAAAGTAAGCTAAGTGTGCCATTACTCACTAGTTAGGACATCTCACTGGCTTCTGTTAGAACTTGTCGGGCCATCTCTCCTTGCCACGTTTCCTCCCTGATCTGCCCTTCTGTCCTTCCCACAAATCCAAGGAAATTAGTCTACTTTCCTCTCCTTTTTAAAGTTGTTATGACCAGTTATTTACTGATACTTTTTCCCTTTGAAGTTGACCTCAAAGTAGGGTATAGTCTCTTCAGTTCTTGCCCTTTTATGTTATAATTAACATAGGGATATTGGCATGTTTTGTTGCAAATGTTTTATTTTCATCATCATAGAGTCTAAATGAGGATTATAAATAGGGAAGTTACAAATTCGTGACATCATACTGTCTCAAGTTAGTTTCTAATTTCCTTAGGTTCTGTGGACACCTGTCTGCTTGCCTCTCTTACTCCAGGGAGAGCTCATCAAACCTCTCCCTCTCTATGCTCCAGGGTCTCTCCAGAGGAGAGCATTCAACAGCTGGTAGGCCTAAAGGAGAAGGCTAAACAGTAGTTGGAAATTCATAGAAACCATTCAGAGGCTGCCTTATCTCAAAAGAGTAATTTACGCCTTAGGGGACCATGAAAGCAGCTCTTCGGGAATCCCAGTTACGTACAGGAAAGATCACTCCTGATATTGCTTCTGTTCCTCTGTTACTTCCACTCTGATGCTTTCTGCTATGCTTCCACTCTCAGGTGTGGATTTCCACCTAGCAGTGCGCAGTTTTAACATGTACTCGGTTTATCTTTTTAACAGGTAAGATTTCTATATCCTTATATTTAATCAGAGATACTATGAGATGTTGAGAATTCCAAAATGATCACAGCGTATTAGGGTTGAGTATTCTGGAGAATGCAAACAAACAAAAATATAAATTATACCAACGAATATTTACTAAGCACATAAAAGAGAAGTTATTTCTTCAAATGGCTTATGTTTCATTGGAATGAATTACATACATGAAGCAGTCAGAGAATATAATAAAATGCTAAATTATACATTGGTAGCAACTACTTAGAGTCCGCCAGAGTGGGTTTTCCTAATCTATACTCAATTTACCTCTGAGAAGGAGCAGACTTCTGTATCTGCAAAATTGTTTCTTGCTGACTTTGTTTGTTATTGTTTCGGTATAAGCAGGGGGCCTGGAACTGTATTTACCAGTGACCTTTAGCCTCCACCTCTAGGAATGTGCGTCTGAATGGTACTCTTGCTCCCACAGCAGAGTAAAAGAAGTGCAATGTTGCAAGAACATGAGTAATTCAAATATTTTTGCGGTTTTTAGACTTAAAATCTCAGATGAGAAAATATAGTTTTGTGTGTTTGGTTTAGCTGTAATGTTTTGAGTTAATTTTAGGGATGACTTTTAGAATCAATTTTAGAATTCCAGCCTCAAATGACAGTCCTTTGCTTAGTCATGAGGGGTTCGGTGTAATGCCACGTTATATTGAGAAGACTAGGGACTGTTGCTATATATTAACCTTGGTAGGCACTGACATTTGAGAAGAAAAAAACAACCCTGCGTTCGTAAAGGTTGAGCTGTTGCCATGTCGCAAAATCCGATTTGCCTTGATTCCTGGTAATCTTCACTGATCTTACAAGACATCATCAGATGTGATGTATTTGAGAATGATATGGCAGCAAAGTCACCCAAAGACTAACATCATGTTTCTTAAGTTTTGTAGTGTTCTGCTTTATTTTCTAAACTGTTTGCTGTGGGAGAGGCAGTAGCTTCCTGATTTTGAGAAGTGGAAGCGCTGAAACAGAGTACTTCTCTAGAAAAACCCATGTTTCTACAGTTTCATATAATCTCAAGGGAACAATAGTGTGTCTCCCCTGACAAATTAATATGGACAGAAAGAAGGATGCCTCCCCTTTTCCACTCTTAACGCCACCCCATATGAACGAAGCACACGACACCTCCAGGCAAAGGAAGGGGAAAGCCCCCTTTGTTTTTCTGGCCTTTGAAGTACTTTTTAGCTCAAGAAACCTGTGTTTCATAGAAACCAGTTTGCATCTTGGCTACCTGGATTCAACTAGTAACATATAGACATTAGCAGAAAGAAATTGCTTTCTTTTATTCCTCTGACCCCCACTTTCCTATTTTTTAGCATTCGTGCCATTAATTTTTTATTACTCCTATGTGGATTATTAGGTCAATAATCAGAACATTTGCTGCTCATTTTGTTTTCCAATAAGAATTTATAATGTTGTCTCTAAGATACACACAAGTGCAGTGATTTTTCTCTCAACAGTTGTTTTTGCCTGAATGTAATGACCCTATAATCTAAGGTTGGGGAGAATGTTTGGATCCTGCTGAGGGATATAGGTGCGTATTAATAATTGCCTTTCATCTATGGAAAGTAAAATTGATTTTGGTCTCTTTGTTTTATATTATAATTATAATTTTTAAATTATAGGTAAGGTTTGAGTGTATTTCATTTTGAGTGTGGGGAATGTTGACGAGAATCTCTAGATCCCTAACCTCTAATTTTTTGGGGGTATCTCAGTTGTTTATTTTATCTATGTGTTGCCTTTCTTTTGTACCTGGAAGTACTTTGTGACCTATACATGTTTTTTCTATTTTTAAAAAACTTTTTATTATAGAAAATTTCAAACATATATAAACAGAATAGTGTAATGAACTGCCTTGTACCCATCCCCCAGCTTTAAAATTTATAATATGCTGCTACTCGCTTATCATTTATACCATTTTTCATCCTCCACTCAATAATTTCTTTTTTGTCAAGGTAAAGTTTATGTATATTGAAATGCACAAATTTCAGATGTACAGTTATGACCATGTAACCCACACATCTAACATAATGCAGAATGTTTTTATCTCCCTAGAAAGTTCACTTGTATACCTTCCAAGTCAATCCCTACCCTGCCAGGAAACTGCTCTTCTCCTTAGTTTTGCCAGTTTTAGAACATCATATAAGTGGAATTATATGTTCTTTTTGTCTAGCTTCTTTTGTTCAGTATTATGTCTGTGAGATTCATCCATGTTGTTGCATTTCTTTGTTTTGCCGAGTAGTTTTCCGTGGTATGAAATCTACCACAGTTTGTGCATCTCTTCTCTTACTTATGAATGTTTGGACTCTTTCCAGTTTTTGCTTTTATGCTATGAACATTCATGTACATGTCTTTGAGTGAACTTACATTTTCATTTCTCTTGGATAAATACCTATGAGTGGAGTTGCTGGATCAAAGGGCAGATGCATAATTACTTTCATAAGAAACTGCCAACCCTTTTTCTAAAGTGGTTGTATCATTTTACATTCCTTCTGGCAAAGTATGAGAGTTCTGGTTGCTCCACGTCCTTGCCAACATTCGGGTTGTCATTCTTTTTAATTTTAGCTGTTCTAGTGAGTGCATGTACATACTCTTTAAAGTAAATTAAAATACATTTTATTTTGAGAATTTTGTGGCATGTCTTGAGATAATTGGAAATACTCTTTAATTTGGTACATCTCTTAAGATCTCTTTAGTTTTGTCTGGGATGAATGCTGATCATGACCGTACATCTCCAGGGCCCAGGATATTTGTCCCCACTAATCCATGGCTAGAGTTTACGAGGGAAAATTGTTGGTAATCCTTTACATCTGTTTTAGCCCATATGGTTTCCAAAATATTTTCTCATATATTTATTTACTCTTGACAGCGAATATGGTTCCCATTTTATAGATGAAGGGGACAAAGAATCAAGAGAGCTTGCATAAGATTTGCCTTCAGTTTTAGGGACTGAAATCCGGGACTTCTAACCTGGTGCAGTACAGTAGTCCCCTCTTATCCGTGGGGGATGTGTTCCACGACCCCCAGTGGATGCCTGAAACTGCAGATGGTACTGAACACGATATATGCTATGTTTTTATCTGATGTACATATCTGTGATAAAGTTTAATTTATAAATCAGACACCATAAGAGATTAACAACAGCTTCTCTTTCGCATAGCTGAATTGCCAGCATCACTACTCCTGCGCTTTGGGGATTATTAATTAAAATAAGGGTTACTTGAACCCAAGCACTGCAATTCCATGATAGTCAATCTGATAACCTAGACCGCTACCACATGATTAAAGGATGAGTAGCTATAAAGTGTGCATATGCTAGACAAAAAGATGATTCACCTCCCGGGTGGGATGGAGCGGAACAGTGCAAGATTTCATCATGCTTCTCAGAATGGTGCACAATTGAAAACTTATGAATTATTTCTGGAATTTTCCATGTAATATTTTTGGACTGCAGTTTACGCTGGGTAACTGAAACCACAGAAAGTGAAACCATGGATAAGGGTTGGGGGGCTACTGTACTCTTCCACTAGCACTTCAGAATGAGTAACATACTCAAACTCATTGGATGTGTATCTTTGGTTTGCAAGTTTAGATACACTGATACAGATATAAGAAGCTTTTCTTGGAGGAGGTAGCTGGTAGGAATATCTCAATATTAGTTGTATTGCCCAGAATGTATGATGACCTTGAAATATATTCTTGTCTTTGATTTGTTCTTTTCATGTAGCTTCTAGGAATTTTGACTCTTGTTTTAGTCCTTAGATCAGCTGATGTGGTTATAAAGATACTGTGGGTGGTGCCTTTCTGAGTCTGCTTTTCTCAGACTACATTACTGAATGTCTTAAATTGACATTTTGGAACTCTGCATACGGTTTTCAGAGCCCTTGTAGGAACCCCAGTCTACGGTTCCTAGAAACGTTCTCTTTGGGCACTTAGGTGTTTTTAGCAGTAAATATCTGTTATTGCCCACATTATTGTGGTCAGGGGGATATCACAGCAGGTAATCTGAACTGAATGGTTCAGATGAAACTCCACCAAAGTTAGTAACATTTATGATTTTCCAAAGCAAATTGCTGTTAAATTGTTTCAACAATGTCTCCTCTTGCACCATTGTCAGATGTTAACATAAGTCATTTGTTTCTTTTATTTCAGTGATGTCCTTGCATTGCCCATTTTCAAGCAAGAAGAGTCAAGTTTGCCTCCTGATAATGAGAATAAAATCTTACCTTTCCAATATGTGCTTTGCGCTGCCACCTCTCCAGCAGTGAAACTCCATGATGAAACCCTGACATATCTCAATCAAGGTTAGACGCATCCTTAATTTGTTAGTATTATTGCAGACCTGCTGGATCCATGATATTTTATTAGGTACACTTATATGTAAAAAGTACATCTTTCTAGTGTGACCTGTCGAAGTCAAACCTTTACTTCAGAGATTTGAGTTTAATGTCATATTTGATATGTGTTACTGGCCTCTTTTGTCTGTCTGCCCATTGTTAGTTCCCCTCTCCCTCTTTCTAATCCGTGTTCTTTGGACATGGGTCAATGGACGTCGGTTACTGTCTGAGAAGTATTACCCTACCCAGCTCTATTGTTTGCCAGTTGTGTGGTGTTAGACAAGTTACTTACATTCTTTAAGTTTCAGTTAAAATCGGATGGATAATACCTTAGAGAACTGTATCAATTAAATGATATAAATGTATGAAATTAGTTGTTGTTACTAATACTAATAATATTATACTCTTGAATATTCAACCAACTGAATTTTATTCTTTCTGAATCTTGCAAAGTTAATTGGTGATAGAAGTAATATGTGATTACTTTTTCTTCTAGGGCAGTCTTATGAAATCCGAATGCTAGACAATAGGAAACTTGGAGAACTTCCAGAAATTAATGGCAAATTGGTGAAGGTAAAAGAAAATGAATAAATCATTCTTCTGCACAGTATCTCTTTACTGGCCCTTTTTAGATAATATTCCTTTGCTTCCATAAAGGGCTTGGTGGTATCTCTTACTGGCCACAATCTGCTGGCAGAGTGGTAAATTCATAGGTTATTTCTTTGGGGTTGTAGTGTGCTGCCCTTTCCACATGGATTTTTCAGAGCTGCAGAAACAGAAGGCTTGTCACTTCATGTCCGGGTAGTCTCCTGGCTCAGTGAAGTTCTTTTTGGGTAGAATAAAATAACCTCCTTGAGATCTTTAGAGAAGCTCCAGTGTCTCTTTGGATTCTTGGTCTAGAAGCAATGAAAACAGAAGCTACTGTCGATGAATAACACTTTTCTTAGTTTAGACTGACATTAATGATTTTAAGACTTCACAGCACAATTGGGACAGAGGAGTTTGGCCAGCAGCTGTGAAAAGTGGTCAGAGGGATATTCATAGGCGGCTCCACAGAGTAAAAGTAACAAAAGGGAAGTTGATGAAAACAGTCCCTAAACCTCCCCTCAGTGTTTACAGGTTGTGTGGTGGGTTAGCAAGCAGGGAACTTGGTGAGTTTTTCCTAAACATCTGAAGAACTGAGCTGGGCATTCATGGTAGTGGTAGAGGTATGTAGTAATGCTTCCGATAGGAGTCCTTTATGCCTAGCTACCATTAGGACTGATGTGTAAACCAAGTTTCAAATAAGGTATCAGTAAACTATAAAGATTATGTCTGAGCACTTCCAAAATTTATCCTGAAGTAGAGCTTGGTATGGTATGGGTTTTAGAGTGAACAGGTCTTAAGAAAAATAATTTTAGAATTATTATAATTTATTTTAATATTATAGTTACATTTATTTCTATTTACTTTATATTTATATAGGTTTATAATTACAGGTATATGTAGTGTTACGTTATAATTATTATAATAATTCTAGAAAACAATTGGAGGTGACCCCTGCTAGTTTTCCTTTGTCAGCACTGACTTTTAAGGGCTCTTGTTATCATTTGATTTTGTGGCTTGCTTTTAGAGTATATTCCGTGTAGTGTTCCATGACAGACGGCTACAGTACACTGAACATCAGCAGCTGGAGGGCTGGAGGTGGAACCGACCTGGAGACAGAATTCTTGACATAGGTGTGTTAAGAGAATCTGTTGCCCAGGAAATGCCTGTAACTATGGACTAAGAGTTAGTTTTCTGTGCTTGATATTTACCTTGATTCACAATGCTTGAAGGGCTCAATTAGCATGAAGCTGAAAGTGGTTATTGACTAAGCATAAAAAATTACCTGTATGATGATAACAAAATTGAAGTTGGAAGTGTAGGCACTTCAGTTCCATAACAATTGCCCCTATTACTTCAGGGTGATTTTTTTGTTTGTTCTTTTAATTTAGTTGTAAAATATGCATAACATAAAATTTGGCATTTTAACCATTTTTAAATATATGGTTCAGTGGCATTAAATACATTCACATTGTTGTCATCATCATCACCGCTATCCATCTCCAGCACTTTCTTCATCTTGAAAACTGAAACACTGTTCCCATTAAACAATAATTCCCCATTCCCTCCTCTTCCCGGCCCCTGGTAATCACCATTCTCCTTTTTTCCTGTATAAATTTGACTAGTCTAGGTACCTCATATAAGTGAAATCATACAGTATTTGTCTTTTTGGATTGGCTTATTTTACTTGGCATAATCCTCAAGCTTCATCCATGTAGTAATGTGTCAGGATTTCCTTCTTCTTTAAGGCTGAATGATATTCCATTATATGTATTCCATCTTATATATAAAAATATATATTTATTTTATATGTACATTATACACACACACACACACACACACACCACATTTTGTTTATCCGTTCATCCCTCAGTGGACACTTGGATTGATGCCACCTTTTGGCTGTTGTGAATAATGCTGCTATAAACGTAAGTGTACAAATATTTATTTGAGTCTATTTTCAGTTCTTTTGGGTGTATACCCAGGAGTGCAATTGCTAGATCATATGGTAATTCTATTTTTAATTTTTTGAGGAAGCACCTTACTGTTTTCCACAGTGGCTGTACATTTTACATTTCCATCAGAAGTGCACAAGGGTTCCAATTACTCGGCCTCCTTGCCAACGCTTCTTTTCTTTTTTTTTTTTTTTTGCTAGTAGCCATCCTAATGGATGTGAAGTGGTATCTCACTGTGGTTTTGATTTACATGCCTCTGATGATTAGTGATGTTGGGCCTCTTCTCATTGCTTATTGGCCATTTGTATATCTTCTTTGGAGAAAGGTGTATTCAAGTCCTTTGCCCAGTTTTGAATCTGTTTGTTTTTTGTTGTTGTTGAGTTGTAAGAGTTCTTTATAGATTCTAGATATTAACCCCATATCAGATATATGATTTGTAATATTATCTCCCATTTTGTGTGGGTTGTCTTTTTGATAGTGTTGGTAGTGTCTTTCGATGCACAAAAGTTTTAAATTTTGATGTAGTCCAGTTCATTTTTTTTTTTATTCCTTGTGCTTTTGATGTCATGTCTAAGAAATCATTGCAAAATCCAATGTCATGAAGCTTTTCTTGGTATATTTTCTTTAGGTCTTACGTTTAGGTCTTTGATCCATTTTTGAGTTAATTTTTGTCTATGGTGTAAAGTAAGGGTCCAGCTTCATTCCTTACTTGTGGACATCCAGTTTTCCCAACACCATTTGTTGAAAAGACTGTTCTTTCCCCATTGAATGCTCTTGGCACCCTTGTCGAAAATTATTTGATCATATATATGAGGGTTTATTTCTGAGTTCTCTATTCTGTCTATTCATACATTTGTCTTTAAGTCCATCTTTAACTGCAGTTTTGATAACTGTAACTTTGTAGTAAATTTTGATATCAGAAAGTATGAGACCTCCAACTTTGTTATTTTCTAGGTTGTTTTAGCTAGTCAGGATCTGATATTTTGTTTTGAGTAGTATGTAAAAGGGGCCAGGTTTTTTCCCCAAATGCTGCAAATTCTTTTATTTTACTAATACCTGAGAGCCAGATTATTGGTTTGTTTTACCCAAAGTGAGAGATGGTGGGATTAGAATCTGTGTCTCTTGCTTTGCGGTTCAGATTTTTCCCTACTACTTTGGTACACAGAATAGGATTTGTTTTTCTTAAATCGTAGGGCATAAGGGAAGGCCCTTACAAACACACTTGCAGTCTCTCTTCATGAAGGTAATTTTAATCTTTGCATCTCATCTCATCAGAGAGTCTTTGATCTCTTATTGGTTATTATCTGCTGTTGGTAAACAGAGTTGTTAAACAAATCTAAGTACTACTAGTTTTACTTGAGAAAACACTGGTTCTCATACAGTTATTCTGACATCCTTTTGATAAAGTGACTTTAAGATGAACCCAAACAGCTAACACTGTGGAGTGGGACCCACTTAATGCTTTCTTGTTTGAATGATTGATACTAAAATAGTGGTATAGTTATAGCACAGTTATGGTAATAAATATCAGCCTGGCCTTACCTCCCCAGTTTGAATATTAATAGAAGTCAGAGAATGATATTTGAGTATATGACTTGTGGAATAGAAAGCCAAGTTCTACTAAAGCCCATTCATTGTTTCTTCCCTCTTGAGTGTAAGATTTATCACTCTGTTATGGGATTATTTGATAACTTCATAAATCAGCATCAATCTTTATGTTAAATTTTTCCCACTTCTATTGTGATCCAATGCTTTTTGCCTTTATTTGGACACTCTGCTTTATCCTTCTATAGCATGCTCTTAGTGTACATCCAGCAGTAACATTCATCTTAAAACTGTTAGTGAAGCAGATTACAAATTACAATTTTCATGACGCTAGAGCTAGACTAAGTGTAGACTAGATCTATCTTTAAGTAGAAGTTTGGCAAATTAAAACAGAAACTGCTTTTAAATTGTCTTATTTAAAAAATTTTTTTAAGTGGAAAAAAGAAAACTCAAAAGGAAAGTACCTAGGTCAATTTTTGCTCTAAACAAACACTTTTTATTGGCAAAAAGAGGTTTACGGTATGATACACAAAAATCGTGGTAACTAGGGACCAACAATAAGAATCAGTGCTTTCTCGTTTGAACCCAGGAACACTCAGAACTGTTCATTGATTACAATTTGTTTCTCAGATATCCCAATGTCTGTGGGTATAATCGATCCTAGGGCTAATCCAACCCAACTAAATACAGTGGAGTTCCTGTGGGACCCTGCAAAGAGGACATCTGTGTTTATTCAGGTAAGGCCTTGCAGATGGGGGTCCAGTTATGAAGAGCATCTCTTACTACCAATTTATTTCTTAAAGGATAAAATATGTTGAATTTGAAATCTTTAGAGGGTTCTGGCCTGACTATCAAGTGCAGACTCCTTAGCGTGTGTCTGAGAGCAATGAGGAGTTTCTGAATTGCTCGTCTAATTTCTCCAATTTATTGTTTCTCTCAAAAATGCTTGCTCGTGGCTGCACAATATTTTGAATATTTTTAATTTCTTTGAATGTGCTGTAATTTGCCTGACAATTATTTAGCATTTAGATTGTCCTAATTTTTCACTATTATCCATAAAGTTATTTTGATCATCTTTATCCTTAAATTTTGGTTTGCATATCTGATTGTTTTCTTTGGGTAGATTCCTTGAAAATTCCTGTTTGTCATAATGGTAACTAATAGTTTGTTGAGTACTTCCCATGAGATAGTCACTGTGTTAAGTAAACATGATTTTATACATGCTTTGTATAATGTATATGTGATTTTACTTAAGACTTTCAACAATAATCTTGTGGAGTAGGAATAGTCCTTGAGGCTTAGAAGTTAATAACATACCTAAACTAGTGTGTAGTTGATCAAGGTTCCGCCGTTGAGTCACCAAGGTCTTAGACTTTATGCAGTAGCTGAGCAAACCCTTTTTCCCCCCAGTGTCTGTGAACTTTGCTATTTACTATTTTTCCAGCATGGATGGTACTTCCGCTTTCTAAAATCTACCTTAAAAGCCAGAAGACAGAAATCATTTCTCTTTTTATGTTAACTCTATATTCTCTGAAGCAGTAAATGAATTTAGTTCCTCACAGTAGCTTTTGTTAGCATTAGATCTATACATTTACTTTGTTTACATTTGTAAATCATTTAAGTTTTCCTCATTTCCTCCATTAGAGTGTAAATTGTTCAAGATCAAAAAGAGAGTAAAAGTTTTTTCGTCGGTGTTCTTAATGCTTTTTAAAGGTTTGGCTGTTAGTAGTTGCTCGAAAATGCTGCTGCCTGGTTGGCCATCTAGCAGTGCTGAAACCTGGATGCTGTGCTCTTTTCAGGTGCACTGTATCAGCACAGAGTTCACTATGAGGAAACATGGCGGAGAAAAGGGAGTGCCATTCCGAGTACAAATTGATACCTTCAAGGAGAACGAGAACGGGGAATATACTGAGCACTTACACTCTGCCAGCTGCCAGATCAAAGTCTTCAAGGTATTCCTGGGCATCGTGCTGGTCCTTGGAACTTTTTCCCTCTTCTTTCAATTTTAACATTATTCACCAAGTCAGAAAGTCAACTTGTCTTTTTTCAAAAACTATGAAAACTCAATCTAAGTAGAGTCATTGAAATAATTACTGAGCTGCCAGGTGAAGAAATTTAAACAGGGATGGGCATGGGAGAAGGGGAACTTGAAAAAGGGAGTTAGAAGCAAAAGCATAGATTTTCATTGAAAGTTCTTAAAACCTGTTGAAGTTATAAGTTCTTGTAAAAGCTCACCAAAATTATGAGAAGTTGACATTTTTGGTTACATTCGTACTTGATCTTCATTCCTTATTTTGGTCTTTATTTTTATCACATGGTTAAATGTGTTCTCATTGCAAAAGATTCATGAATCCAGCAGTAGTCAGAGCGCCACACTGAAGCCCCCATTACCTACCACTCATACCCAAATCCCCAGCCTCTCCCCAGAGGTAACCACCGCCATGATTTACTCGTCCCCTTCTGTGCTTTTGTATATACTTGTTCGTAGGGGGAGAAACATATTTTCTTTTCTTTGAAACATAAATAGGAATTATTCATGAATTGTTTTGAGGCTTGCTTTTTTCAATTAACTATGAGCTTTAGAGATCTTTTCAGTAGCTATAGATCTTATTCTTTTTCAACTCCATCAAACATTTAAATTTCCTATTTTCAGACTTAGATGCAATGATGCTCTTGTCTTTTTATCATTATACATACATCTTTGCTTCACATGTGACTCTTTTAAGGTTTTTTTTGAGGAAGATTAGCCCTAAGCTAGCTGCTGCCCATCCTCCTCTTTTTTTCTGAGGAAGACTGGCCTTGAGCTAACATCCATGCCTGTCTTCCTCTACTTTATATGTGGGATGCCTGCCACGGCCCAAGTGGTACCATGTCCGCACCGGGATCCAAACCAGTGAACCCCGGGCCGCCGAAGCGGAACGTGTGCACTTAACCGCTGTGCCACTGGGCTGGCCCCAGTGACTCTTTATGTTTTCATAAGTAATATCGTTGGGTGAAAGGGTCAGTACTTGAGTTTAAAACAAAGTATTTCTAATTTCAGCCCAAAGGTGCAGACAGAAAGCAAAAAACAGATAGGGAGAAAATGGAGAAGCGAACACCTCATGAAAAGGAGAAATATCAACCTTCCTATGAGACAACTATACTCACAGAGGTAAAAGGATTTCTTTTGGTGACAATTTCAGTGAGTGCTTTTTACTTTTAAATGAAAAATCCAGTCATTTTGCAATGTGTACATATATCAGATCATTATGTTGTACACATAATGTTACATACAATGTTAAATGTCAATTATATCTCAATTGAAAAAAAAAATAAAACCATCACTTCTAGCCTGGTCAGAACTTACTTGTCTTGAGTATATTCTCTGTTACCTGTGGGGGCCTCTGAAGAATTAAGATTTACTAATTAAGATGTGCTATTCAATAACAATGTTTTGGTGGCACGCTAGGGTCAAATGCACTTTTGAGTTATCTAAGTTGTCCTTTGTTTTTAGTGTTCTCCGTGGCCCGAGATCACATATGTCAATAACTCCCCATCACCTGGCTTCAACAGTTCCCATAGCAGTTTTTCTCTTGGGGAAGGGTAAGTCTGGAAAATGAAATTGGCTTGTGTTGTCCTAAATATGTGTTCTTTTGTTATTGTTCCATAAACAAGATCTTTCCAAATCAACAGTACTTCTATTTGGTCAGTCTTTGATGGATTTATATGTTAACTGAGGTTTGGATTCTCTTCAAAAGAACTGAAAGAGTTTTATATAGCCCTTTCTCCTCTTCTTCTTTTTCCCTCCCATTAGAAAATAGCTTTTATGATCAGTTTTTAATGATTAAAGGTCTGATTTTTCTAGGCTTTTCACTTCTCCCTATTACTACTCATCTTGTGGTTATTTCACTTCCTGATTGTACTTTCACCAGAGAATGGTCATTGGGAATTGAAACATAGTTGTACAAACACTAAAATCTGTTTTGTTACTTATTAAGACTGATCCTAGGACTGGCAGTAGTTAGCTCAGGGCTAATCTTCTCAAAAAAAAAAAAAAAAGAATGATCCTAACACCTAATTATTATGAATCTTTGATAATTGGGGAAAGAACGTTGAAGGTGATAGCTAAAATGAAGTTTTGGAATTATCTATGGGATGCATTTAATCCTACGTTATTGGTTTTTACCATCAGAGATAATTGAAAGTTGGTACAGATGCCTACTCAAATTAAAATAAGTTGTCTTATAGCTGTAGCATTTAACACGTATTCTAAATAGGCCATATTGAAATTTGAAATAGTTAAGCTACTAAATGTGTGAGTACATTGTTTGGTTGTAATGTTTGTTTTTGAATTTATGTAGGCTCATGTTCAGCCTACTTCTAAAAGTACTTAATTAAGGTAGCTTAAATATTCAAAATGTAACTATTAAGAATAGAAATAGGTAGAAGTTGTAGAAGGAATGGATAACTAGGCCCCAAGATAAGTTAATTACTGCATTTGAATACTGAAGTTGAATTCTGCAGCTAAGTCAAAAAAAGAAATAGAAGAAGAAAAAGATCTTTTTTGAAGAAAAATCACTTACCATTCATATGGGATTATGCAGTCTACTTATAGGCAATTTTAAATAAGATACAGGATTTAAGAGTTGTGGTTTTAAATTTTTTCTCTTCTCTTTGTCATTACTTCATTATTAGGTTCAAATTTTTCTCCCATAAAAACAGTAAGCGTTGGGGAAGAGGGACAATCTATAGAGCAAAAGGAAGTAGAAGGAAAAACCAGGCATGTGGAGACGGCCTTTGGATCACAAATTAGACAGCGCTAATTTCTGAAGCTGCTTTAAAAATAATTGTGTTTTTCATTATAAAAGTGTGTGATCACATTGCATTGCATAATTTTCTTCTAATATTTTTTCCTGTATAAGTTTGTATGTATATTTATATATTTAATATAGTAGTAATACATTGATTACTTTTATATTCTGATATTTTTAGTTTACATTCTAATAAATTTCTTATGTTAAATGTTCTTTACACCATAATATATCTGATCAATTCCAACTTATTAAAATGATTTTGTTTTCAATTTCTCTAATAATAAAAAATGTTGCATAGGCAAGCAAATAAACACCCCTAAGTGTCTGATTTTCAGAGTCACTGAACCTAATATCTGAGAACCAAATTTTTCCCCTCAAATAGCTTTAAATTCGATATAATAAGGGCCTATGCAAAATAAAACCAGCTATCTCGGAGCAGGGGGAAATGTTGCAAATGACATAGTCCGTCCCCCCCCACCCCCTTTAAAGTCTTTAGGTTCAATTAACAGATAATAGAAGTATTGGGTCTAAGAGTAAGCATGTTTTGAGAGAGAGCACAGATTCTTTTAACTCTAGCATAAGAGTCATGAGGATGAAGAATGAGATGATGAACCCTAGTATATGTCATGTACTCACCCTTGCATTTTAAATGTTTCTTTAGAAATGGGTCACCAAATCACCAGCCAGAGCCGCCCCCTCCAGTCACAGATGTAAGTCTGAAGTTAAATGTCAGTTATTTGCAAAGTCTAATAATACTTGGATGACTGTATCAACTTTTAGGGAGTATTCATGCATTCATTAAACAAGTATTTATTGAATTTTATAATGAACCAGATACTGTACTAGGGACTGGAGATAGGAAACCAGTAATGCCGGACCCTTGCATTTAAGGAGCTTACAGTCTAGTGGGGACGATAAGGATGGAATTCCACGGGCATCTTGTATGGTTAGAGAAAGAAGACTGATGTGATATAAACAACTTCCAAGCAAAGGAGGTCTGCTGCGTGTGGGTGTGTTTGGCTGTGTGTTACCTAATGATGTAGCAGATGGGTCTATTTAGTTACCAAAAAAATGCTTTCTCTCTTTCAGAACCTCTTACCAACAACCACACCTCAGGAAGCTCAGCAGTGGTTGCATCGAAACCGTTTTTCTACATTCACAAGGCTTTTTACAAACTTCTCAGGTTAAATTTGCTTGTCCTTTTGTTTTCCCAAGCACAAAACATTCCTTTATATTCTAGGGCCTCCTGGCATCTCTGTGAGGTTTTGTGCGTGTGTGTGAGAGATCTTAGTGCATTTTTCTGATTAAATGAATTTCATAGAGCCCTTTAGACTTTCTCACTAGCTACTGCATCTGTGCTGTGAAATACTTAAAAAGAAAGACTTCTTAGTTAAAACTCACTTTAATTTTAAAATACTTATTATATGCAATACTTTTTAAAATGTATATCCCATACAGTATTTTATCAAGGGGCATACGCAGGTAGTTGGAAATTTTCCCCTTGATATCACTGTTTGTATTTTATTTCCATCTTCTACTTTTATTTAGCACCTTCTGTGTACCAGTTGTGGTAGAATACACAAATGGATAAGGGATACTTTCTGATCATTCATCATCTAGTATCAAAAAATAAACCAAATCAAATCAAAATAAAACCCTGAAAAAAGGGAAACAATTAGTTGTGATGCAGTAGAGAAGTGTGTAGAAAGTGAGGCGTTTGTGGGACGGTCTGGGGTTAGGGAACATGCATGATGCATGAGGTATGTCTTGGAGGATGAGGAGGAGTCTTTTGGTCAGACAGTGGAAGGATATTTCAGGCGGGAACAACTTGCTCATTAGACATCATCAGTATGATGACAGTACATGTGGAGAAGTTAATTGGGTGGGAGTTGAGGTCAGAGACGAAGTAGGGGCCAGGTCGTGGAGAGCTTATACACCATGCAAAAGATTATGGACTGTAACATACTAGTAATGAGTTGTCCTTGTAATAGAGCCCGTTTTAATAGTCACTAACAAAGAGAATCTTTGCCTTTATCACTCATTTTCTTATATTTACTCCAGGGGCAGATTTACTGAAACTAACTAGAGATGATGTGATCCAAATCTGTGGCCCTGCCGATGGAATCAGACTTTTTAATGCATTGAAAGGCCGGTATGTAATTAGTGTTAAAATATCAGTGAGGTTGGGTTTCAAATGGATTTGGATTCAGAGACTCTTCACAGTGCTCTTTGCACAGCTCAGTACATCTTGTCAAAACATTCTTTTTGAATGCCAGCTGTGCACCAAATAAACAAAGATGAAAAATATCTTTTCCTACACTTGATCCAAGGAATTCTCCATGATATCCCATTTTCCATTTCCAGGTAGTTTTTCCTTTCAGTAAATATTCATTGTCTCTATTATGAGCTAGGTACTGTTGCAGGCTCTTGGGATACATTGGTGAGCAAAACGGACAAGGTATCTATTGTCATGGAGTTTACTTTCTAATGGGGAGAGAGGTAAAGGTATAAACAATAAGTGTTTTGGATAGTGATAAGTACTTTGAAGGAAAACAAAACAAACAAATAAATAAAAACAAGGTTGTGGCCTATAGAGTACCCAGAATATGGTCAGGAAAGACCTCTCTGAGGAGGGGATATTTAAACTGAGTTATGAGAAGGATGGAAGCTATGGGGTCATGTGAAGGAAGAGCATTCTAGGCAGAAGGAACAACAGGTACAAAGTCCCTGAGTGAGTTTAACTGGAGAAGAGGTCATTCTCAAGTTTGGATAGGAATTACTTAAGTGTCTGCTTACAAATATTGCTTGTCATACAGAGTAATTTGTAGTCCCTATTTGGGATTTACAATTTCAGATAGGTAGTAGTAATGTTACTGGAACAAAACATACAGGTTAGGTTAATACCTCAGAACCACGTCAGTGACTAAATAGTGGAACAGATAGTGAAGTATTTGTGTTTGGGTGCATGACAAGAGATACTGTATCTACTGGTTGGCTGTAATCTTGGAAAATTTTAAATAAAGAGGTGAAATTCAGGAGTTGATGGCTTGGGGAAATAAAATGGATCTTTCATTTTTTCATGTATGATCTGAAGAGCATTTAGAAATAGGAAGGAATAAGATGATCTGATGAAGAGGTAATTGAACACCGTTGTCTAAGAAGTCAGTACAGAAAAAAGGCTCAGGCTGCTTAGGAAAAGGTAATGAGGGCAAGAAGATTCTCTGGTTTACCATATTGGTGCTTTTCAGTAAAAGGTGTATCTTAAACCTGACCCATAAAACAGTGGCTCACATATTGTGAACATTTCTAACCTTTACATCAAAGGTCACAGACTCAAATGACTACAGAGGACACATGTCAATGAATGACAGATCCGGGGTGTACTGAGGAATGCATGCACCATATGAGGAGAACAGCTGACTGTTTTCTTGTAAAAATAAAGGCCTTGGATTGCCAGGTCTGATTTTTCAAGAAAAGCCAAAAATTCAGAGGTTTATCTGATACCTTCTGTTGGAACTAATTCAGTTTAGGAAAACACACACACACCAATGGGGAGCTAATAAAACATAGCAAATGAGCTGACTGGCCCATGGGCTGCCAGTTTTCAACTCCTGCTCTATAGAATTTTTTTTTAATACAGTAATTTCATTCATTATACAATTTTTTTTTTTTAAGATTGGCCTTGAGCTAACATCTGTTGCCAATCTTCCTCTTTTTTTTCTTCTCCCCAAAGCCCCCCAGTACATAGTTGTATATTCTAGTTGTAGGTCCTTCTAGTTCTGCTATGTGGGATGCCATGTCAGCATGGCTTGAGCAGCGCTAGGTCTGCGCCCAGGATCTGAACCAGTAAAACCCTGGGCCACTGTAGCGGAGTGCGTCAGCTTAACCACTTGGCTACGGGGCTGGCCCCCTGCTCCATAGTATTAATGTAGACTCACCAGTTCTCCCTTAAAATTTGCTTACATGAAAAACGTAAAGCTAACACTCTTTTTTTTCCTCCTTAGGATGGTGCGCCCAAGGCTAACCATTTATGTTTGTCAGGAATCCTTGCAGTTGAGGGAGCAGCAGCAACAGCAGCAGCAACAGCAGCAGAAGCATGAGGATGGAGACTCAAATGGTTCTTTCTTCGGTAGGTCTTTCTGGACTGGCCAGGACAGATGTGGAGAAAGGTGAAGAGATGACTTAGGAGCATGTGTGATGGGAATTTATCAAACAGCAGATTCAGCATTTGCTAGAAATAATGGCAATTGCTAGTGTTTATTGAGTTCCTAATACATGCCAGGCCCGAGGTTCAGCACTTTTGTGTGCTTTCACTTTTTTTTTTCCCTGAGGAAGATTGGCCCTGAGCTAACATCTGCTGCCAATCTTCCTCTTTTTGTATGTGAGCAGCCGCCACAGCATGGCCACTGACAGACAAGTGGTGTAGGTCTGTGCCTGGGAACCTAACCGGGGCTGCCAAAGCCAAGCATGCTGAACTTAACCACTAGGTCCCTGGGCCTGGCCCTGTATCCTTTAATTTTTACAACAAGTATCTCCTCTTTGCAGATGTTATTGTCATTGCTAACATTTAGATGAGGAAAATGAGGCTTAGGGATGTTAAATAACTAGCCCCAGGTCACACAGCTAGTAAGTGGCTGAGCCAGGATTTGAACTCAGGCAGTCTAACTGAGTCGAGAAATGTGAGCATTCCTAGTGATCAGATTACCTTTAAGAGCAGAGAAACTTTGTACTGACGCCGTTGCTCTCTCCCTTTTGCAGTGTACCATGCCATCTATCTCGAAGAACTGACAGCTGTGGAACTGACAGAAAAAATTGCTCAGCTTTTCAGCATTTCCCCTCGCCAGATCAGCCAGATCTACAAGCAGGGGCCAACAGGAATCCACGTGCTCATTAGTGATGAGGTAGATTTTCAGTACAGCTGAATGACCAGACGACAGTGAATGTGTCAGGGCATGTGACAGGAGCAAGAGCAGTTCTACTGGGGCAGAGTGCTCTATTTTCTAGACCAGAGGTTTTCAAATGTTTTTGTTTCCTTGCTTCCTAAAATAATTCTTAAAAACCATGTATCCACTTGCACATTATTAGGTTGACTTAAAATTTTTTAAGTTTAAATAGTTGCAAACCACGTTTCTGGGCATATGACATTTAAAAATGAAATGGGTACTTCGCTATTCTAACTGTGTTACACGTAACCTAAATAGAAGAGTGATTTAATACCATCATCTGTTTAAAAAAATACATGAAGAATGTAAAGAATTTTATCATTTCTTTGTTTCCTTGAACTCATATTTCCATTCATTTCCCCCATAGAATTTTATCTTACCATAACCTATTTTTATGTTTAAACATGTTTTATTAATTACCCTAGCATATTTCTTTGAAACAAAATGTGTTTCAACAAAAAAATTTGTTTCAATAAAAAGTAAAAAATTATTTCTTCTGAATAGAATTATTATAATTATACAATCAATTAAAACAACAAATAAATGTATTACATTTTGTTAAGTAACTATTAAAAATTAAGAAAAAAACTTAATATTTGAGCCAGCTCTGATGGTGTAGTGGTTAAAGTTGGGCACTCTCTCCCCTTCAGAGGCCCGGGTTCATTTCCCGGATGCAGAACCATACCACTTGTCTGTCAATTGCCATGCCGTGGCGGTGGCTCACATAGAAGAACTAGAAGGACTTACAACTAGGATACACAACCATGCACTGGGGCTTTGGGGAGGAAAAAAAAAAAAAAGGAGGAAGATTGGCAGCAGATGTTAGTTCAGGGTGAATCTTTCCCTGCCAAAAAAAAAACCTTATTAGAAGTGCATCTATTAATGAGATGGACGGGATTTTTCAGTTCCCTACCCTCACCCCTGTGCACGATTAATTCATCTATTGATAAATACTGCCTATTGACTGCTAGAATGAAATAGAGTTCAGCATCAATTCCATCCTGCTTTTTTCCCCCAGATATAAGTGTTATGGAACCTTATTCACGTAACTTAATAGACAGGAATGGGTGGAGTTTTGTGATAACAGGATCACTGGGTTTCTTTTGAACTTCTGAGTTATGTGCCAAAAATTACATAGTGATGTTATAAACCATTATTTTGAATCATCTGTCATTTGACATTTTGTGATTAGGTCACTCTTCAATTCTGGCGAAAGGAAAGAATTGGAACCCATGTGACTCACACAAGAGCCGGTTACCCAGTCATTCGAGTTCACATTTGAGTGACACTTTGGCATCCTGGGGCTTTATACTCTGGCCAGTGCATCTTGGTAGCATTCCAGGAGGGTGAAACTCATGCCTTTATCTTATAAAATGGGAAAAAGGAGTTTGAGGAGGGAAAGTGGGAAAGGAAAACTGGAGAGGTTGTCAGGCAGTTTTAGGAAAGAATACATATGGGAGTTGAAGACCTAGAAGTTATTTCTCCCATGTGTGCCTACCTGTGTCTGTGTACCCCTTAGAAAGTCTTGGAGTTAACCCAGGAAAATGCATACTATCATTTTAAGATCACTGTTTTAGACTGCTTAGCTTTTAAAACTTAAAAACTAAACAGGGGAGATAACAAAACAAAGGATTATTTTTCACTTAAATCTAACAGAATAAAAAGCCACATAGTCAACATACATGCAGCAAATCAAAGTGTTTAATAATCAGCAAATTTTCTTGCTTTTTCAGATGATACAGAACTTTCAGGAAGAAGCCTGTTTTATTCTGGACACAATGAAAGGTAATAAAATAATAAGACAAACGCTTCTCTCTAAGGAGTTTAAGCGCTTTTTTCATACTTCTTTGAGGAGAGAGTGAAAGTATCAACCACCATATTTGAGGTAAAGTGACACTATTATTGACATACAAGTGATTATCAGACAGTGTAAGTGATGACTCAGCCGTTCTCTTCCCCCTTCTGTGGACAGATGAAGAAACTGAGGCATGTTGTTTCATAATGCATATTTATTAAAAGTATTCTGTGATAATTAACAAGTATACTGCCCTTTGTCCTTCTCTGTTTTTTTTTCCTCCTCAAAAGAACCGTATCATATTTTTTTCCCTCCTACTGTATTTTAGATGTGACTAAAAATTATTCTCTTTTTTTTTTTACAGCAGAAACCAATGATAGCTATCATATCATACTGAAGTAGGTGTGGGGCTTTCCATCCTGCGTTGCTGCTGCTTCCTTCGCCTCTCGGAAACCCCCTCTTGAAGGGGGTCTTGAACGGAGATTTGAAGGTTTGCCAGGACCAGACCCCTGACTGCGTGTGGAGGGGTCCAGGCCACGGAGGCGGAATCCCAGCTGTCTGTGTTGGCCTGGGCTCTTCTGGCAGACGTAGATTACTGCCCGACGTGCATTTCTGCAGCAGTTTCTTAGTTAACATTTTAGACCCTGTTGTTGAATAGCAACAGAAACTACACATCATTTAGGGTATGTGTAGGGCATAATGATGATGAGAATTGTGTGATGTTTAATGGAAAGATGTTAAATTTTGTGATATGGAGCCATGTAATTTTTTTCTAATATAAAAGTGAACATCTATATTCATCAGACTAGATCCTCAGTCTTTTTTGCATCAAACATACTGGCTTTTTGCCACAACTGCCCCCTGAAAACCTCATCAAAGAGGAGAAATACAGAGATAGAATAGAATTTTTCTTTTGGTTCTCTTGTACTATTATGACTAATAGTAATTTTAGCTAACATTTATTTATTGAACATTTACTTGTATCAGGCAGTGTGATAAATTCTTTAAATGGATTATCTTGTTTAAATCCTCTAAATAATCCTATCTGCAGTAGGTAATAATGATCCCTAATTGAAGATGAGGAATGGAGACGTACGGTGGCTAAGTAGCTTGCTAACTAACAGACAGCTCACAGGTAGTAACACTGAAATCCAAACCCAGGCAGCCTGGCTTTTAACCGCCACCTGTTACTGCCCCCCTTGCCATCGTTTCTCACTGTGGCTCTCCTGGTGAGTAGGAAATAACACTGAGTGAGAACTGAACCATCAACCACTGAAAGGGACGGACCACATCTCAGTAATGGTGAGCAAATCAAGACCTACAAACGCATCATTATCAGGTTCACAGGATTGGAGGTGGTGAAAACTAGGGATTATCTCTAACTCCCCAAATTCACTATTCTTTTTTTTAAGATTTTTAAATTTTTCCTTTTTCTCCCAAAGCCCCCCAGTACGTAGTTGTGTATTTTTAGTTGTGGGTCCTTCTAGTTGTGGCATGTGGGATGCCGCCTCAGCGTGGCTTGATGAGCGGTGCCATCTCCACGCCCAGGATTTGAACTGGCAAAACCCTGGGCCCTGAAGCGGAACACTTGAACTCAACCACTCGGCTATGGGGCCGGCCCCTGCAAATTCACTATTCTTGAATCTCCACCTCAAACTTTATTAATGAGTTAGGCTGACTCCTGCTTCCTCTTTCCCCTCTCTGCATCTTCTCTTGGTATAGGAACTTCTTTTACTCACGTAGTGTTCTTTTATATAAGCTTTACAAGAAATTCATTCCGATCCCATTCACATTCTTACCATGAATTTTTGTTCTTTCTTAAAGAATGATTGTGGGCCTGTGTGTATGTGTGTAAAACTATGGGTCTTCTGTTTTCGTTTGTAAGGTTTTATCCAGAAATCCCTTTACACATTATGTTGCGGTGAAAAAGATTCTGTATTGGATTTGGATCTGTGTGTGTGTGTTTTTAAAGCATTTGATAAAGTTTAAATGTTTTTATACAGAGATTTTTGTTCATTAAAATCAACCTGCAACATGGTCTGATTTCTTTTGGTTTGAAACTGGAAAATTAAGTCAAATGACTTGTTTAAAACTTGGCATATTAGGCCAAAATAATTTTTTAGTGAATGACTATGAGATGTCCTCTTTTGGGGGGACATTTCCAGTTGTGTTAAGTTCCTGTGATTGGTTCTTAGCTTCAGAGAAGTGGGCTCTCTCCTCAGTAGGTTGCTGCTTTTTTTTTTTTTTTCCTATTCTGTCTGTTAGGCTAGGAGGGTGGGACTAGATGACTTTTAAGGTCCCTTCTAAATCTGAATCTGTGACTCTTGTTTATTGCAAATGATACAAATAGAATTCTATTAATATATTTACCATAAATGTACACTTACTAATTTTCACTTGGAGTTAGGGGTGTTTTTTAGGGTAGTCTTCAAGTTTATAGAAATTAGTTTATACAAATGTGTGATCACAGATCCTTAAATTAACCAGAAAATCTTTCAGGCTTTCTTTGGCTCCAAAAAGTATTTATAGTGCTAATGCTATGTAATTGGTAAGAACTGGTATAGTGATAGAACGTTGTGATTATTCAACTTGTTTTAAAAAATTGCATCTGTTCACTGTTGATCCTTTCAATTAAATGAAGATTTTAAACTAACTTCCTTTTGCTGAGGAAGATTCGCCCTGAGCTAACATCTGTTGCCAATCTTCCTCTTTCTGTATGTGAGCTGCTGCCACAGCATGGCCACTGACAGATGAGCAGTGTAGGTCTGCGCCTGGGAACTGAACCTGGGCTGCCGAAGTGGAGCATGCTGAACTGAACTACTAGGCCGTTGGGGATGGCCCTAAACTAGCTTTTTCATTATGAAAGTAATACACAAAGTGATAAATTCAAACAGTAAAGAAAGGTATAACTTTTTCTGTTTACCTCCTGGTCCCACTCTGTAGAGGTAATCATTGCAAAAAAGTTTCTCCCACCATCTCTCTCTCTCTCGCTCACGCACACACACAGCTGGGCTCTTGTAATACTAATGATCTGCAATTTGCTTTCTGTATTTAACATATCTTGAACATCTTCCTATATTAGAATTTATAGTTCTACATCATTGTTTTTTTAAAAAGGGCCATTCTCTATGGATGCTATTTAGGTTAAGTCCATTTGAGCATGTATCTTCATAAGTTTTTTGCATGTATCTCTAAGATATATTCCTAGAAGTAAAATCTGCTGGGTTTTACCTTCTTAACAATGTGATAATTGATATTTAAAATGTAGTAGATGGTCTAAGGTTTCCATTTGACTGAGAGTATATGAGGAGAATAGTTAGATCTTAGGCCCTCCTGAGAAGTGGAGTAGCATCCTATTTGACTTAGTATTGTCTGTACTGTTCCCTTGGAATATAATAGGTTCCATGTAGAAGAATCTGCAGGGGCCAGCCCGGTGGCATAGTGATTAAGTTGGCATACTCCATTTTGGTGGCCCAGGGTTTGTGGGTTCAGATCCAGGCGTAGACCTACACACTACTCCTCAAGCCATGCTGTGGTGCCGTCCCACATACAAAATAGAGGAAGACTGGCATGGATGTTAGCTCAGCGACAATCTTCCTCAAGCAAAAAGAGGAAGATTGGCAACATATGTTAGCTCAGGGCCAATCTTCCTCACCGAAAGAAAACGAAAAAGAATCTGCAGAGTAAAGATAGTGTAAAGATTGTTGATAGTTATTGGGAAATAAAAGGAGGGAGGTCATTACAGGACTCTAAGGATTGAGTAGTAGTCACTACATGAAATGTGGCTATTAAGTAATAAGATTGAGCAATATTACGACCCAATAAGAATGTTTGCTCACATAAATGATTTATTCAAGAAGCCATTTAAAGGGAGGGGAAAGGGAGAGGGTCATATTGTCTGGAAAGAGATTACAGTGCAACAAATACAAGGCAACTAGAGCCCGAAAGACCTGAGGAAGTGAAGTCCACATGAGGGGGCAGACACGCCGAGTCCTGGAAGTCAGACGCTATCAGGGACTGGGCATGCTGTGAGGGTAGAGCATCGTCTCACCACTGTGAGTTGGAGGAGCATGGGGAAGCCTGGCAAGTGAAGAAGGCTTGGCATAATGGAACTAGCCATTTCTAATTTATGCCTAATGAAGGAGTGTTCTGAAAACGTTTTGTATCCCCAGGTATTCTGAGGGAGTCTTTTGTGCAGGGTTGCTGCAGAGATGGGGGCTGTCCTGCAAACTACCGTGAAGGGCTGAATGAAGCTTCAGCATTCGGTTTGGAAAGTAACACAAATTTGGGGTACAAATATTTGAAGTCAGGACTGAGCTGCTCCCTCCTAATGGTAGTACCTAACAATTCCAGATAGTTTGGGGACCGGAGAGCTGAAGATGAGCCATTTTGCCATTTTTCCGAGTTGTTAATTGGCTTCCTTGACCATGGATGGCTCCTCTATAGGAATTTGATCTGTCATGGCCTCTACTGTCTGTTATGAGAACTCCAGTCTCAGCAGGCCTGGCACAAATGCCCCACCAGCTGTGTCATTTATATACTAATTCGTGCAGAATAATCCTGCATCTTTCTGCTTCTAAAAATGCTCTATTTTCTTAGTTGTGGGCTAAAGCTTGTCTTGCTAGAATATTTATTTTTAGTTTGTGATTAAATTTTCGTTTAATTATACGAACTCCAAGCCTTAAATGAGGCAGAATTTACTACCACTGCAAAATGGAATGAGCTGGAAAAGATGCCCTGTGTGACTTGAGATTAATTCCTTCAGCACCTGTTTTTTTCTATATTGTTAATACTTTATTTCTCCTCCTTGTTTCTTTAATGACCTTGTATTTTATCTTCGACTTTAAACTTCCATCAGTTTCCACATCCTCCTTTTTCTTTCTCCGTCTTTCCTCTTCACTTGCAGATCTCCTGTGTTGTCCCTTACGAACATGGGTCTATTCAACAAGTCACCTTGGAAACTACAACTAAGCCTAGCATTTGCATTCTCAAATTCAGCCATTTAAAAGTTGTGTATAAATTAAATTTTTCAATTGGATTAAAGTCAATTATAAGGGAACTTGTTATTTAAAAAATACTATTATTTATTGTATTATTGTGCTATTTTGTACTGTATGGGATCTTCTGGGACATGAGTAATAACCAGTTTATCTATTATGTGAATCTCTGTTTTCATATATTTGCATAACATGAGGTACACATTCTTCAATTTAATCGCTGCGGATTCCTGTTTTCTTTCTGAGTTCTAATGTCTGATTTTTCATTTAAGGATTTAGTTAATATCTTTCCTTAGACATCCTAGAACTTTACTTCAGACTTTGACTCACCTCCTTTAGGCTTATTAAGCTTGCCCTCTCTAAACTCACCCCTGCACTTGACCCCCTCAGACCTGTTATTTTGCTTTGTTAATTGTGTGTATGTGTGTACATTATGCACATATATAGATCAATTTGTGTATGTCCTTTTTGAAACCTTCTTTGATAAAACACACAGCTTCTTCGTTGTGTGTGCTTTTCAATTGCTGTGGCTCTGTCTTTTTCTCAGATTTGCACACACTGATCTCTTTTGGTTAGTGTAGAATTTGTCACAAAGAGGTGCCTGTCTCTCTAGATCTGGATTGTAATTAAATGTAAATCAGTAAAGTAACATACAACTTCAGGGCTTAATCTACAAGTTCTGTATCAGAAAAACAAATACAATGTCTTAGTTTTATCTTAACTCTTTTTCTCTAAGAAGCTCGGCACAGTGTCCTCTGACGTATTATCCCACGGAGGGCGTATTCTTGTTGATCTTTTGGTGGTAAAGAGTGGTTGATACAGTGTATACTTTGGTGTCAGATAAACAAATCTCAGATCTTGCTCTTGCTGGATGTGACCTTGGACAAAAAAATCTCTGTAAACCTCAACTTTCTCATCATAAAAAGGAGATAATACTTACTTCATAGGATTTGGGGGAGATTTAAAAGGATAATGAGTATAAAATAGTTATTTTTTACTTAATACACTTATTGAGTTGTTCAATAAATTCAGGATACTACTGACTACAAGATCACTCTTCGTGTAGACATAAGTGCAGACAGATGTGTAGACACCACCCAGGACATGAAATGGGACCTTGGTTTTCACTTGTGCCTGCTGTTCGTGACTGTATGTCTTTTCTTCCTATTCTGCTTTGACTTTTTTGTCCCCCAAACACACCACCTATCCGTGATTCGTGTATTCTGAGCTGGTCCATGCATATGTTGCAGCATGATCTGGAACAAAGCAGGAGCATTTAGAATTGGACATCCAATGTTATTATTTACATGTTAATTCCTCTCGGCATTTCTTTTCATTTTTCTCTGTAGTTTCTATTCTACTGCCCTCGAGCGTCCGTTACCTTCTACCGCATTTGCCCTCCATAGAGCCTGCTTAGACTGGAGGCAGAATTGCAGTTATTATGGACCAACTGGCATCATTGTCATAACTTACCTAGGGATTCTATCAAGACAATGAAATATGGTGAACAAGTGACTCTATGATAAGTAGTTATGATGTTTGTTAGAGGTCAAGATGATCTTTCGACTGATCTAGAGCTTATTGCCAAATTGGATTCTGCTATCTTCTCAAAGGATGTGCTAACTTTGTTCTGCCTATCTTCTAGTTTGGTATCATTACCCAACAAAGCCTGGGCATTGAGGCTGATGGTACCCTGCTGAATTTCCATGACTGCCCAAACTCTGGATGTGTAGGCACATGATATACTTTTTTAGTCTACCCAACATGGCCTTAGGCTGTCTTTTGATTACTCAGCCCACTGATTCTACAGTGGTCTGGGGCCTTCTCTTCCTTTTTGTCTTGTGTGTGTCCAGGGAAAACAGAATCATGAACATTTACATAGCACTGACTGTGTTGTAAACATTTTATACTATATTAACTGTTTAATCTTCACAAAACCCTATGAGATACCCATTTTATAGATGAGGAAGCTAAGGCACAGGGAAGTTATGCACCTTGCCAAGGAGTCACACCACTGGTGAGTGGAGGAGTTGGGGTTTATATGCAGTCCAGCTGGCTCCAGGATCCATGCTCTTGATCACGTTATATCACCCCTAAATTTCAGCAGATAGGGAGATGAACAGTACATGGTACCCTAAGGATGGCTTTTTTGTGATCTGCTGCTTTTTCATTTTGCAGTGTTGTTTTCTAGCCTCTTAGAGTCTCCGATGTCACCCAGGGGAAAGGACTAGGACTCATAGCATTTTTTCCAAGCCATCCAAGCTCTCAATTCTAAAACTGAGATGACTTGGTAGCCAGTAGATCTGGCGCCATAGTTCTTGGTTGCAGTGAAAGTGCACCAGGCTTTAGAATCAGCCTAAGCTGAGTTCAAACCCTGCCATCCATCCATCCAATAAATATCCAGTAAATATTTACTGAGTCCTAACTGTCAAATACCAGGTTTGTTCTGAGTGCTGAGGATAAGTAAACAAACCATACCTTGGTCTCATGGAATTTAGTAAAGTGAGAGAAGACTGAAAAGCAAATAAATATATGTCAGGTGGTAAATGCTAAGAAGAAATTAAGGCAAGGGGATAGAGACTAAGGGGAAGCACCATTTTAGAAATATGGTTAGGGAAGGTCTCTGATAAGGGGACATTGGAGCAAATATCACGTGAGGGAGTATGTGGCTAGCTGATGAGAGCGTGATTGTCCTGTTGAAGGGACTGCAAGGAGGCCAGAGGGCCAGTGTAGTTAAAGCAGAGTAAGGGAGGGGAAAAGAAAAACAAGATGACAAGATAGGGCGGGGGTTGGTGGGGCAAGAGGATACACCTACATCTTACAGGGCCTTATAAGGTCAAGGAAGAGACGTGTACTTCTATTCTGAGTGAGATAGGAAACCAAGGCTGGGTGTCCTTGGCAAATGACATATAAATTCTGAGTCTTCGTTTTCTCCATCTTACAAGTGAGTTGCAAAGTTGTGAAGATCACAGATCATGTAAAAAAATTTTTGAAAGAAAACACAAACCAACGTGTCAATACATATTGACATTGCTTGTATTTTCTTCTCTACACCTTGGGCAGGCTGCAGCAAATTATGCTGTTTAAGATCCCACGAGCGAGGATAAGGGGACATGAGAGTGTGGCCTGGAGAAAGGAAAGGTGGAGCTTTAGAGGAGAATTCGTTTAATCATTGAAGATCTGTAGTTGAGGGTCTCCCCTCTTCCTCTTCAAAAGGCTGCAGCGGCGCCAAACTCGCTTTCCCAGGGTCCGCTGCAGCAGAGACACCGCCTTCTGAGCCCGCTTTTCGGCGAGTTTCGGCTTTGTGCCGGTCTCAGCCTCCAACTCCCGGCATGCCGCTGGGCGTGGGGCCCGCACGCAGACTCCATTTCCCAGCCTGCCTCCGGGCTCGGTCAGGACGTGCCGGCGCCTATAAGAGCCAGAGCGCTGCGGCCGGAGCCTATTGTTAGCCGGAGCCGGGGCGGTTCTGGGTGGCTGCTGCCGGGGGCGCCCAAGTTGCCGGAGCCGCCCGCCCTCCGCCTCCTGCCGGCCGACCTGCCCACCCGCCCTCCCTCCCCGCCCTGCCGCCCTGGGAACTCCCCGACCGTCGCCGCGGGCCCGGGACTCGCTCTCTCCTCCCTCCTTCCCACCCGGGCTAGGGCGGCGGCGGCAGCGGGGGCGGCAGAGACCATCACGGGAGGAGGCAGCTGCGGCGGGGCCGGTAATGGGCCTGGGGGTGTGGGGCGGAGGGTGCCGCCTCGTCCTTTCTCGGGATCGGTCCTCAGGCGGCTCTGGAGGAGCGATCAACCCTGCGCCGCGCGGATGGAGGGGTCAGAAATGAGGGAGGCTCGCACGGGAGCGGTCGGGGGGGCGGGGAGCCAGGGCGCCGCTGGGAAGGGAGAGTCGGGAGAGGCGTGGGAGCGAGGGGCACGGAGGACGCGGGCTCTGACTGCGGGGGCAGCTCGAGGGAGACCGATGTGCGGCTTGGAAGCCGGCAGGATTGCAGATGAGGGCTGAGTTCGGAATGGAGTGGAGATGATGTAGGATGGAGGGAAGTGAAGGAAGGGGAGGAGGAATAGAGGAAAATGTGGGAGGAGTGGTTGGGAATTTGTGAGTAGCAGGCAGGAAGGGCTGGGAAGGCTGGATAGGGGCTGCAGACGATTGGAATGAGCGGGAATGTTAGCAGGAATCAGAGAGAGATGGGTTCAACGGGGGTGTCCATTAAGGGGAACTGGTGACTTGACATGTCCTTTCAGCTCAGGTTCCTGATGTCTCCCATTTTTCTGACGTTGTGTGGGAAAACGAAAGCATCACTTGCCCTGGTTGCTAGCTTGATTTTTTTCCACAGGCCCAAACACGCAGCTGACTGCCATCCATCCCTTTTAGTGCCATGGTCTTGATTCATCCTTTTAAAGGGTTGTTTAGAGGGGCAGTGTGACACACAAACCGTTCTTCAATATGAAATGTTAGAAGTTATTCCCGAGAAACACAGTGTCCCCTTGTCCTGCTGTTTTCAGTTCAAGGTAAATCCATAGTTGATTCAAATTTTCCTTTTCTTTACTGACTTTCCATCTTGCAAATCTCCAAAGCCAGGAGGATGTTGGTGTGTGCCAGAGTTATAAATGACTGGATATCCTTGAGAGTTCATGGTTCCTGCAGCATCATGTTCCAGTTCTCCCACAAACATCTTGTGTCCTCTGTATGACGGTAGTTTAGACACAGAAAGCCAAATTCTAACCTTGTGTGAGTGAATGGGTGAAAACCAGGGAGTGAGGGTTGGAGGGGGGCTTCCTTGAAATACTTAAACAGGATGTTTTCACTTGAGCACTTTATAAGTTCACGATCCTGGTAATCACAAGGACACATGGATCCATGAAATTCACAGTATTGGAGAATCAACCACATATTATAAAAGGAGCAATGACAGGTCATTTTATTCAGGTTTATCGTAACACTTAGCAGCAAGCCTTCCTTCCTCTAATGCAGCTACAGATGGTGGCCCTGACGACCTTACTAGAGATTTTGGTCCCTTGACCTTTAGCAGAAGGTTGGGTTCCAGTTGAGTGGAGAAGCTTCCTCCTGTGAGATCTACCTTGTCTTATTCTTTTAGACTCATTTAAGAGAGAGGATTTTATTACCTAAAATTTGCAAATGTAATGTGCATCCACAAAACTGGGGCTGGGGGATTGGGACATCCCTCTTTTGCTAGTCTCATGTATGCTGGTTTTTTGTGTTTTGGGGTTGTTAAGGGAATTCTCACAGGCCTGAAAAGGCTTAGATCTAGTACTAAAATACACATATGCTGTAGATCTATTTTATTTGGTGTTGGCCTAATATCTTCTATATACTGTGGATCTGAATTGTTTCCTATACCTTTGGGAAATGTTCAGCTAGAAACACTTGAGAAGAGACTGTAAGGCATGTAGCCAGAAAGTGTCAGCTGACTTTTCATTTTACTGGCATTTGAAAGCTTTTATAGAGGTTTGCATTATTTTCTCCAAAAGCATTTGTTGTTTGAGTTGGTCATTTTGACAGTTAACTGTTAGTTATGACCTGTATTGCCAGTCTCACCTCGATTATTGCTGGAAGGGTTTAAGTGCTGGGAATATAACTTATAAGTATTTCTCTTGAACACAGGCATTGATCCTCTGCCACTGAATAGCTGAGTAAGATGGGAATGACTGGTTTCTAATTATGGTTTGAAAGGAGGTTGGTTTGACAGATTGGAAAGTGTGGAACTATTCTAGTTGTTGCTGTTGCAGAGAAAGATCTCTTGGGGCCGCTGTGAAAGTGGGTGGAAGGTTTCTTGGTGCCCAGTGAACATCTTTAACGAGTCAGGTTCACACCAGAGAGTTGGACAGGGAGAGCTGGCTTGAAATTTAAACTTAGATTCGTTGTCAGGACAGAATTGATGGTTTGGTTTTTTTGTGGGTTTTGTTTTCGTTTTTGTTTTTATAATAGATCATGGAGTTACTGTCAGAGAAAGTGATGTTAACAGATCCTGGGTAGGGTGAAGAGAGCTAAGAGAGTGTGCACATTATTTACACATATAGCCATAGATTATTCTCAGGCATTTTTTTTTTTTTTAAAGATTTTATTTTTTCCTTTTTCTCCCCAAAGCCCCCCAGTACATAGTTGTATATTCTTCGTTGTGGGTCCTTCTAGTTGTAGCATGTGGGATGCTGCCTCAGCGTGGTTTGACGAGCAGTGCCATGTCCGTGCCCAGGATTCGAACCAACGAAACACTGCGCCGCCTGCAGCGGAGCGCACAGACTTAACCACTCGGCCACGGGGCCAGCCCCTATTCTCAGGCATTTTAAAGAAAATCTTTTTCTCCTAGGTTTCACATCTTTTTTTCGTTCTTACCTACCTCCTGTCATTGCCCAGAAACCACTATTCCAGAAGTGCAAGTGGGGAAGACATAGAAAAAAAGGGTGAAGGAGCCTGGAACAAGCAGCCAGCAATCCTTGCTGCAGTAGAGTGCACAAAAAGTAACCCAAAGAGAAATGATAGCCCTGAGGGCAACTGGGTTAAGACAGTGGAGACTCTTGATAATAAAGATGGTTTTGGACCAGACCCAACCTCCTGCAGGTCTTAAAGAGAAATATTCAAAGGGAACCCACACTCTTAGAAGCAAAGGGACACCCGAAGAAAGAACAGAAGTGCACATTTGCTTCCCATCATGAAGCCCTGAGTGCTTCCAGGCTGAGGAGAGAGCCGCTTTCCTGGGAGCACCGCCACCTGGGCCTCAGTTAAAACTGAAGCTTGACTCACGCCCTTTCTGAGAAAGCAGATTTTCAGCTCAGTCTGAGTTTTCATCTGGTTGATAAGGTTTTTAAGTGGGGAGGAAAAATGAGATTTAGTGGTCAACATTCTTATTTTTTTAAATCCCATCCACATAAGTACTCACTTGCATAGGTTCCCCTCCCACCCCAGTAATAGAATGAATGAGAAAATTGTTAGTTAATAGGTGTCTTTAAACCCAGCTGAAATCTTAACCCATAAAAGGTCCTTGGCTCTCCTCATTTTTACCATGTCCTAGGAATGTGACCTCTGATGGTAAGCTCGGTAACCTGAAGAACACAATTGATACTTTGGGCTCATTTTTAAATTTAATTACAATTCTTATCAAGCACTTGATTATTTTTTTCCCCCTTGGCCAAATTTATTTCAGGAATGTGCTTGTCTGAGACCTGTGATGGCTGAGGTTTCCTAAGTACATCTTGTGACTTGAATGCAGAATTTTGATGAGATCTGGTGAGATAGATTAGGAAGTATCTTTCTAAAGTACTTATTAGGTCTGGTTGACTGTGTAGAACCGAGCCAAGAGCAGGCCTAGTGCTTCCAGGAGACACAGTCCAGAAAGAAAGCTCTGGAGCCGGCATCTCTTGACACCACAGTATATTCTGGTAGCTGCTCTGCAGTAATGCAGCCCTGTCTTTCTGGGCAGTGTTGTTATTCCTGCTGCATAATTAGCAACTAGTGAGATCATAGTCTGGGGAGATTCTGGCATTACTGAGGCAAAGCAGGGAGGTTCGTATCATCACATGTGGCTCTGGCTCTCACAGCATTTCTGCCAAGCAGATTCATATCCTTGGGAATTTAGGTCCAAAGATGGAGAAGGGGAAAGATGTGTACCTGGAAAATGGACCATCCCAGCCTCCTTGGTTGTGTGGCAGCATGTTGAAAACACTGCCTACCATATTGATGTAACCAGAGTAAATTGTCACTTCGTTTGCTATTTGTTTTCCCCTTGTCGGTCTCTTTACGGAGGGCAAAGATTGTAAAGCTAAGTTTTCCTTGCACAGAGGCTAAGGATAGACCAGCCGAGCCCTGTGTTTTGGAGCAGTATGAGATGGGGAAAGATTCTGGGTTTTGAAGCCAGAGTAGGTTCTAATCTTCTGTCCCTTCTTCAGAACCTAATCTGACCTTTTTAGGAGCCTGCTGAGACACTTTACATTTGTGAAGATCTGGATAAAGCCTTTCCCTGGCTGTCGATGTACTTTGAAATTGAGAGCCTAGAACAGTATTTCCCAAAGTGTCATTTGCCCCCTAAGGTACTCTGGAAAACAAAGGGTTCCATAATCAGGTGTGTAAAACCTTGTATTCTGTGTTTTCTCCCATCCTTCACCATGCTCATTAGCATATTAAAAGCCTCTAAGAGGTCCTCCCATAAGCATTTTGTAAACTATTTTGACACAGCAGTCCTATTTCCATGCAAAAGCTATTAATATCCATGGAACTAGTTTATTTAATATATACACTTTGGGAAATGCCAAGCTATATTTTCACCAGGAAAAATAATTGGATCCAGTCTAGGTTTAGGCACAGCCTAATTCTGCCTTTGATCCCCAGTCCCTCCTACTGGCCTCATGGAGAGCTCTCCTGTGTGATCAGAAGAGCAGCTACCGTTATCCCCGGGGCTAATGAAGGCTAGAGCCCAGCTGGCTTGGAACCAGAGGCCTTCACTCCACTGGGAAGGTGCTCCTGTTACTCATCTCATTATTCTAAGAGTGACTGAGCCTGGAGGGGCTGAGGGGAAATAAAAGTAGAATGTTGGCTAGAATAAGCAGAGAAATGACCTAGTCTCGAGAGACTGGACGTCAGTGCTGGCTCAGGCGCTTGCTTCAGTTGGAGAGCCTTGGGTAAAGACTTGGGAGGGGTCTTTCTGAGGACAGGAATGCTGATTCCTCTTTTCCCCTGGGCAGAATCCTAATGCACCTGGCTAATTGGTGGTGAGCAGGGGCTTTGGGGCCAACGTGGTGGGCTCCCCAAGAAAACCCCTTTGAAACCAATGGATGCATTCACGGGCTCGGGTCTCAAGAGGAAGTTTGATGATGTGGATGTGGGCTCATCAGTTTCCAACTCAGATGATGAGATCTCCAGCAGTGACAGTGCTGACAGCTGCGACAGCCTCAATCCTCCCACAACTGCCAGCTTCACACGTGAGTGAGCCGCTCCCTCCCCACCCACGCTCACTCACACTCATAGCCGGCCCCCCTAACCCCCCCCCCCCACACACCCCCCCCCCCCCCCCCCCC